TTTTTTTTTATAACGGGCGCCACATAACACTAGCAACATATAATGCATTAGACAACTCTTCCTCGAATAGTCAAACTCATCCATTCGACCACCAGTACTCGGTCTCGTCCCATCGGCCTCGTCTAGTCGACCTCCTCCACTCAGCCTTCTATATTGAATCGTTTGCAATCGACCTGAAAAATTTCTCTCCCAAGAAAATTCTCCAAAAAACATCATCAGAAAAATAGTTTCGTCAATGGAAGCAAGCTACGAAGAAGTGGGGCTAAGCTTCAAGAAGAACTCTAACAAGAAAAATGTCTCTGAATTCTCATTCTTATTTTTACATTTATGCTTTTTTAAACTTCTTCGATGTGAATTCAGTCGTAACACTCGAGGAACTTGCCTCTCATTGGCAAGTTTTCTCAGAGTAAAAGGAAGTTGTCTGATCTTTTGGACCCTGCTCAGCTCAATAGTCAAATGTTATGGACAAATTTATATGAGCCTTTTCCAAAGTACAACTTGTCAAATAAATGATTCAGATAACCTATGGATTGAAGAGATGGATTGAAGAAAATGATATCACAGCTAGGTAAATTTGAAAATTGTGACGACTACTTCTTGTAAGAGTGTTATGACCCCAAGGCGAATAGTTTGAATTCAACAAAACAACTTGAATTTCTCAGTAACTGGGTCATGTTATAAAAAAAATAGTCAATATAGTCGCATAAAAAAAGAAAAGACTCATTTCATTGATAACAATTGAAGAACTCTCCCTAAGACCATTACGTCAATTGTCATAACAATGAGCTAATAATTTATGAGACTACTCCATAAAGGTGAGTCAAAATGCCCATAGGACAGAATCCTTTAGGTGTAGTCATAGTGCCCCCAATACAATTACTAAAACTAAGAGCCTCCAAGCAAATGAATTATCTAAACATAGAGAGACACACCATTCATTTTTTTGCTTAAATAATTTCTTAACTTTATTTGGGGTAAAAAATGCATTTACTAAATTCATTCTTCAAGCCAGAGAAACATGCTCTTGCCAAATAGAGATGAAAAATGTTAGTTTCACATTCATTATTCTTTTATTATTTTTCACAGTTATCTTTCAAAAAGATAAGAAAATCCAAGAACTAATATGTATGATAGAAATTCTCTTCCACAGTTAATGACATTGAAATTGTTCAGAAAACCCGCTGAACTCAACTACTCATCACTCGACACTTGTCACACGATCCTCTCCAGTTGGCCCGCTCTTATCGACCCTCTCCAATCAATCATAGTTAATAGAACCCCATAAATCAACCATCTCCAGCCGACACTTACTAGTCGGCCCTCTCTAGTCGACTCTCATTAATCACCTATCTCCACTTGGCCATTTTCATTTGGCCTTCTCCACTTAGCCCAACAGAAATGTGACTAGGCGAAGTAAGCAGATGAAAGATATAAATTATGTTATCTCTAATATATTATCATCTGAATATAATTATTACTCACATATACTTTATAATAAATATAACTATATAAAATGGAAAAAGAGAATGTAAAAGAAAACATTTTTTCCTCCACGAGGTGATAAATATCAAATAAATTAATTCTGATGATTTATTCCTTGGGTTTGATTCAAAGACAGATATGTTCAATAATATAAAGATTAAAACTTTAGTGTTATACATGTAACTATAAGATTCCTGCCAACATTAATATTTGCCAAATTACATAGTGTAGGACTTATTTTTAATTTTAAATATTTTTATTGTTGTATAGCAATCTTTTACATGATTATAATGAAGTATGTTGGACTAATAAAAAACTGCTATTTATAATAAAATGATAGTGATGATGATGAAGTTATGTTTTTCAGTTATTTAATTGTCAATAGTTAAATATTTGATAAGCTCATTCTCTAATTTCTCTCTTTTTTTTTTCTCAAAGAAGTTTATTTATGCTATTAAGAACTTTCTATAAAGTTTATCTGACGTGTGCAACATACTTTTGACGTATATGAATTTCTAAGGGTCTGTTTGGCGCGACGGTTTTTGCGCGGAGCGTGGAGCAGCCGCGAATCTCACCCGTTTGGTTCGTCGTCTCCAGCGCGGCGGGACGCCGTTTTGGCGGAACGCGAGCCGCGAATCGAACCCCGCGGCCCACTTTGAGCGACGAATTATTAGCTTCGTCAAACAGAGCCTAGTCTTATGTGTCTTGATTTTTCTACAACGCAACAATATTGTTTTATGAGTTTCACACAACTCATTCATCCTCTCACAAACCCACTCCACATCCCAGGTTTCCTTTCTAGCTTCTCCATTTGCATCCTCTAAACCAATCCTTTCAAATAAACATATGGCCTAACTGTCATTCAATATCATGCTAGCATTGCAGGAGTAATTGGAAACAATAAATTGAGACTTGGATTTAAGAGGCAACGGATTACATAATTTTACACTTTGAAATTTCATGAAGAACACACACCTAACACAGAACATCAATGCCTGAATAATCAAAATATCAAATTTAAGCATCATTTTATAATTCATGTTGTTTAAGGATAGCTTCTAATGTATATTTCTTAATCAATCCCAACTTAAAAGCTAGTAATCAATTATTTCCATCATAAAATATCTCAACACCAATATCACTAATTCTCTAGTTCAGCCTAAAACAGATAAAAAAACTAATTTTCAGTCTAGATATATTTATTTAAGCTATACACCTATATGTGAAATAACACACACACACACACACACACACACACACATACATACTGGGGCAGCATCTACAGACACACACACACACACACACACATACATACTGGGGCAGGATCCAACATCTTGAAGTTCTTTACTTTATTTCTAACCAATATGTCAGCATTCGAGCAGAAAGAAGATAGGTTCCAAATGCATAAATAAACATGTCATAAATGCTATAAATTGAGAATCTATACACAATTTTCTCTTTTACATAGAACTCAATAAAGGGGTATTTACATGCAAACCTTCCAATTCCTACATATACATATATCTAAAACCTAAACCTTTCTTCTTACAGTTATAACTCCTAGATGTTTCATGTCAAATAAAATAATATCGTTGTTTTAACTTTGGAAAAGTGACATACATCTTTTCATGCATTAGATAAGGCGACATGTATGTAAAAATTTAAGTTTAGGGGTTAAATATGTAAATATATTGGGATTGAGTGGCATGGTATGTATGTAAATCTTCCTTTAATAAAACTATCTCTCAACACTTTCTTAGGTTACCACAGAGATAATATCATACAGTTGAACGTCTTTATTGAATCATGTTAAAACCTCCCTACATAAACATTAAAATTAAATTTGGTTTCTCAAAAAAAGCTTATCAATCTCATTTGATTATGCCATGAACTAAACTAATCTCTAATTATATAGAATAATAAACAAATAGATAAAAATAAAATTTTAAGGTGAGGGCTTACATTCTTGAATGTATAGGTATTAAGATAATGGTGTAATAAAAATGAGAAGGCATCAAAACCTCTTTTCTTTATTTCACTCGATTTATCTCCAAAAATCATGCTTTAACAATGGTTGAGGCCAATGGTAAGATAATTAAAAGCCCACCTCTCTCTTAGGGTGCGGTGATGATCTGACACCGCATCGCCTTTTTAATTTTTTGGGTAAAAACAAAATTTTAGCGGCATCGCACCGCAGTTTTGTTTGTTTGGGTGAACAGCGTTTTGACAGCTTTTTCAAAAGGTCGCCGCTGAAATCTACGTTTTCCCACCAGTCCTGATTAGGTGCGGCTGCAACTTTTCTAGCTACGGTCTAATTTTAAAAAAAAATTGTAATTGCCACTGCAGCTTTTCGAACACCCGATTATTTTTCAGCAGCTTCATAATTTTTTTTAATAAGGCGGAGCCTCCCCAAACAGACCCCGAGTGAGATTTATATTGTTATAATTTAAGTGGATGTTATATTATTATGTCATTCACTCCTTATTAAATTAAAAAAAACAATATAATGACCGTTATAATTTTTATTTAATTTCATTATTGATAATTAATGTTTAGTTTCTCTTAATTATAATGAATAAAGTTATCATGACAATTTGTAAATTAATGCAAATTCATAATTTGCATTGCTAATTGATG